AAAATGAAAAATATATATATTTAATTCTTTTTAATTGTTTGATCAATCTTGCATTCTTACATCTGGTAATCTGAGCAACTTTGTTGAAGATTTATGGGTTTATATGAAGGAAATCCTTCTTTCCTTCTTTTCTTTTTTCCCGCTTCCTTTTTCCTTTTCTTCTTGTGCATCCTCTTTCTCCTTTTCAGTCCTGTTTCTCCTGAGACAGCATAATCTCATTAAATTTGTTAAAAGTAGTTGTCACATCAGATTACTGTGTTACTTTAAATTGGTCCACACAGAGTAATGTAAATTCCTTCTCTCTCGTTTCTACAGAAACTCTTTCTGCTATCTCTTTCTTAACCAAGAAATAAGCACATTACAGCACAGTAAGTGATTCTTCCAAATGCAGGGATTATCAATGTCAATCTAATTCACTCTCTGCTCATGTAAGCTTCACACGGTAAAGGCAGGGGTTTATTATAATAAGTGTCAGAAACTGCATGTTATACTCATATGTGTATCCATAGCCATATGAAGAATTCACAGAGAAGATCGGGTCAATAGTTTCATTTCTAAATGCATAAGGAAATTAAAATCTTGCCATCAAGGATCCTCTTATTACAGGAAGTTCAGTTCCTAGAGAAAAGTTTATTAGGAATATTTCAAAAACCAGTTTGTAGCCCAGGTCAAGAACCAGGAAGCATGGAGTTAAATAGACCACAATCAGCAAAGCAGGACTTGGTTACCAAGCATGGGACAGGATCAGACAGGCTAGGAACCTGCTGGGCACACTGCTTCCTGGTGTGCGAAGAGAAGCCAGTCATGAGAGCCCGGAGCTGAGCCCAGAGCAAGAGGAGTAGTTTGCAAAAGGCCGGGGCCAAGCTACAAGACAGATGCATTTGTAAAGTATTTTATTCAAAATAGTTTTGTGAGGCTACAGCTTCAAGATAATGATTGTGATGATCGACACAAGTTAATTTTTCATAGATGAAAATATAGAATTGGCATGGGCAAAAGATCTGCACAGGTACAACTTTCACTGTTTTGTAAGGACAAAGTTGTAGCTTACTGTTTCATAAGGAACAGGTGTAAGGAGAATGCTGTAGTGTTTTATTATCTTCAGTAAAATATTTTCAGTTGGAAAAACAAATCTATATTTCAGAACCTTATTAGAAAAATGATAATAAGGAAACGCTTCTGAAGGCAGGTAAATGAGCAAAGTCGTAGCCATATGCTCTTGTTTTCCTTCATATTTAACAACGTTATTGTTAGAACACTAAGATAAAGTGTAGAAAAGGAAATTAGTGCTTCTTCCATTCACACCTCCAACAGATATCAGGTCTGGATTGAAGGAGTAGACTTGGGAGTCATCAGCCAATAAAAGGAAATTCAAGCTGTGAAACCTAGCAATCGTGGACCATAGTGACAGCACAGATAAGCTTTACATCAAGTAGTGTTCAAGGCTACCCATAGATGAAGTAAAATGTGGACTGAGAATTTGCCTTTGTACTTAGTGACACGAAGCTCATTCACAGCTTTGACAAGTGGTCATTTCATCGGAGTGTCAGGGACAAAAGTTTGGTTACAATAAACTCAAAAGAGGGTGAGAGAATTTAGAGGCTCCAAGTGTACACAACACCTCCAAAGACTCCGTCTAAAAATTAAAGAGCAATAGTGTAGTAGCTGAGTGGGGGTGGGTCAGGTTAAAAGAAGAGTTTCAAAGATAAATAGCATTGCGTTTGTACGCAGATGAGAAAGATGCACATGGGGGTGGGGATGCTGATGAGGTAGGCAGGAAAGAGAAAAACTTTGGAGGGGATGGCTCTGCCTAGGAAAGAGGAAATAAGATCTAGGTCCTACGTGAAGGGGAAGCCCTGCTGGGGGTCAACTATAGCAAAGAAAGTGCCCAATAAGTAGTTGTGAATGAATCTTACAATGTTTAATATGTCTTTTCTCAGGATTTTAATGTGTGTACATATATGTTTGTTCTGATGGTTTTTTTTTTCCAGAAAGCATAGTTTAAAGTCTAATTCAGAATCAGTGTGAGGCAATTTGAAAGGATGAGCTTTTATCTACCATTGTTTGTTGGAAATATAGAACATTTGAAAAGGATTTTGGTTTTGGTCTGATACCTCTATACACTATCTTCAAGTTAAGACATGGATAAGGAAATACCCAACAACATAAGGACACAGATAACCAACCCTTTCTGGGGATATCCTTCACAGTAATTCAGAGTACCTGAAGCAGGTAGCAAAGACAATAGGTATAAAAACCTTTTTTTCCAAATATTGTGTATTCTTCATATCTTTTTGTCCAAGAAACTTCCCAGCTGCATTCAGACTGAAAATGTGACGAAGACAAACATGCTGTCCATTATTATCAAGAAGAAAGCACCACACAATTTCATGAGAGAAATGATCTTGCATCTTTGAGATTTTCAGTGAGGAGGGTAGGATCAGATCCTCCCCTATAAATCACTTGGACATTCAAAGAGTTCATGGAACCAAGAGAAAGGTAAGGCACATTATTGTAAAAGGAAAATGTTGTAACCCTTGTGGAATGTTCCTGGATTTCTGCCATGCACAGGAAGGGAGAAGCTGTGGATGGCAAAGAGGAATAAGTCACCTAGGCAATGAGTAGCCTATCAGTCCCCTTAAGGTTTGAGATCATAAGGCAGTGAAGGGTCAGCCTCCTCACATGTTAGGCCCCTGTGCTAGTCACCCTGACTACCTCTATCGTCATCCATCGACACATTGTGCGATCAAAAAGGATTAAGAGAATCAAGCCCTTCCTTTGCTAACTCCTCACAGGAGTAAAACAGACTCTGGCAAATATTTGTTTAAGAAAGATCCTTTCTGATAACCAAACTGGATGCCTTTTCAGAGTAACCACAGAGGTAGGATTAGCATTGTCTGGGTGGACTCGAAGGAGGTGGAGAGAAGGGAAGTTGGGTGTTACCATGGAAAGCTGGAATCCAGCTCTACTGGTACGTTAGCCTCTGCCACTTAGGAATCTTTTAATTGCCACAAAGCCCCATTTCTGGGTAAACACAATGGAACTCTCCTTTTGAAAGGAGGAGGAGAAAAGGGCAAAGAACAGGGAAGCAGCCTTCTCACCCAGGGAAAATTGTAGGTCTCTATCATTTCATGAACAGAGAAAAAGAGGTTTAAATTTCCCAAGATATAAGATTTAACAGAGCCCTTGAACAGTGTCATATGTTCTTTAGGAGGATAAAAATGTCATATTTGAGACCTCAATAAAGCACATGAAAAGACTCAATATATTCACAATTACGGATTCCAATGTTCAAGGCATCACAGTGAAGAGGAAGGAGCAGGAAATATCTCAAGTTCCTTAGTTACACATGGCATTTCTGGCTTAAAAAACAATTCCGCTTTCCCCTCCATTTTACTAGAAACATCGCCAAGAGGGAAACTTAACTGTCCAACTTTTGTCAAAGCACTTCTAGCCCACAGGCCTGGGCTTAGTTGTGTGCCACTGGCTAAATTTAACACCCTGGCTTTTTTGTTCTTGAGGGCAAACGGGAACAGCAATCAGAGGTGCTATGCTCTAGTTCCTTTTAATCCCTTTTTAATTATAGCATAAACACAGTACGTACAGAGATGGGCGATTTCCATAGAGTGTTCTGGCAGGTAGCAGCTTGTTTCCAGCTGAATGATTTATTTCCCCCCCCCCCACCTTGTTCTTCTTTTTCTTGAAGGAACACCTTATTTGAAAGGCCATTGTCCATTTTATTTAATTAAATTAATTACTTTGCTGGGGTTAAACTTAGAGGAAAGAAGGCAAAGCAATGGCTACATCTTTTCATAAAACTAATGTAAAGATGGAGAAATAAGTAGAGATTTTCACACTTTTTTCAAGAACAATATTTTGAAACAGTTCATATGCTATGCTTTATAAATTTCTATTTCACAAATAGGATGAGGAAAAACTAAAGCAATAATATGAAACAAATAAACCAGTAACTTGGGTTCAGTGGTTTCCAACTTCACCACAGGTAAGGACAGCCTCTTATTTCTATATTACCCTGACTATTATTATTAACATATAGATAGTGATTTTCAATTTATAAAATACTCTCATATTACCATCTTATCTTACCCTCCTAAATGTTTAAAGTCTTGTTTTTCCCACTTAAAAGATAAGAAAATAAAGATTCTGATTTCAAGTGACTTACCCAAGATCATAAAAAATAGGAAAAGTCAGAACTTGAATTCAGGTCTTCAGCTCCAAAGTTAGCTATGTTTATGTTGAAAACACAGTAACATTTTCAGTATTCCTTATGTTCATGTTTTCACAAGTCTCATTCTTTTTCCAAAAGTCAGTAGATTGACCTTGGATTTATACAGCATCTCAGGAGGCCCAAGGACATTAGCTGTCTCTTCCGAGTAAGAATTTCTAAAGTATTTCAGCAAAAGTTTCACTTATTGTGTTATGGTGTGATTTCTCAGTCTATCAGGACCTTAATTTCTAAATCTACAAGATGGAGGGAACAATTTGAACTCAGAGGTATTTCGATAGGTTGAGGCAAAATATATCTTCATCATTGTACTTTATTTTTACTTTTATTTTGTTTTTGAAAAAAACATTCATTTTATTATATTGTTTAATTTTTTAATTTTTATTTCAAAACAAGATGATAGGAAATCAACAATAGTTGTTATATTGCATATTGTCATCTTCAAAGTAGTTGTTCAGATTACCAGATATAAGCATGCAGCATTGGTCAGAAAAAAAAAAAAAAAAAAAAGCATTAACTGTTCCTTGCAAGAAACCAACAGAAATTAGCAGTATCATTATTTTAGCAATCTTGTGTATATAGATATTTTTCCCTTCATTCTTTCTTTTCTTCTTTTCCTAATCTCAATTTTTCTTTCCTTTTGAGCAGTTTCTTTCCCTTTCACAATATCTATTGTACTTTCCAGGATTTTATTTACTCTTTCAGTTTCTTATTGTTTTAAAAAGAGCTGACAAGATTTTATCGCAAATGTCATTAGCATTCTAGTCTCTTCAACACAATTTGTAGGTAGTTTTTGCAAGAAAGAGACACATAGGCAGAGATTTTTCAATTATTAAAAGGAACAACTAACATTTTTTAAGAATAAAACAATTTTCTATGTCTATCATGTAATAATAAACGGGGGATTTAAAAAATTTAATTTTCATAGTAATTACATTTGGGGATGTGAAATTTCAAATTTAGTTTGACCTTTTGGTGTTTGAGTTTATCTACTTTTGGCATGAGATAATTTCCTAACTTTAAAGACATCAGGCAGCTCTTATCAGTGAATATTTTAATTATTCAAGTTGCAAAAATGACTTGAAAACATATGGAATCAATTTCCCACACAATGTTCATTGGTTAGAAAATAGTGAGAAAAATGGCGTTGCTATATACATGGATTTAATTTTCTTAAACTTCAAATTTCATGGTCTTGGGGATAGCCAGTTGTCTATTAGATTTTAAACAGTTCAAAGTGGACACAATCCCCAAATTAATCTGAATTATTTCAAGCATTATCAGCTTGTGTCCATACAATATCTTTAATATCACTTTTCCTCAACTCCTTACTATATACTTATATTAGTGTCCTTCATAACATCTGTCAAATGCCTTCAATAGGATGTCAGAGACCCAACATGTATGATGTGTGGCAATATTCATTTTTCATGGATATTTAATGACAACACAAACCCAGTAATAATAAAGCCATATTATGAAGTCCAGTACTTAGCAAGTCCTCAGTGCTATCCTCTAATATGTGATTTGTACTATTTGTTTTCTAGGTATGAGTTCCAAGCCATTGGGAGGTAGAACCCTTGCTGTTCTCTCACTTATTTTTTGTCACTTTACTTAATAGCACAGAGCATCATGTGGACTGCGTGGGATTATAGCACTTAGTATGAAAAAGTCAGTGGGAGGATCTTACAGCAACAGTTATATTGAAATAAAAGTCTGGCATACATGCAAAACTATCTTCCAATTTTTTTCCTTTTCCAATTTTGTCCCTACTATCATATGTTATTACTAACATTTATTTCAAATTGTTGATTTAATTTTGATTTAATTTTGTGACACAGTAATTTTAAAATTCATTATACTTCAATTAGTTTATACTTAGAACTTTAGTTGAAAATGGCTTATTGGATTTGGAATGTTACAGACTGAAGCAAGACTGATAATTATCCTGGTAACCATTCACCACATTTTCCAGTATACAGACTAAGTCCATTTATATCTCAGTGTGGATAGGAATGTAAGTGGTCACAGGATTAGAACTCATTTCATTTCAGATAGTTTAGTTGCATTTATAGTTGATTCTCATTATTTTCAGTTTCCATATTTGTGAATTCACTTACTAAAAATGGTCAAAAACTCAGAATCAATACTCATTCAATCATGGACACACACAGTATGAAAACAAACAAGTTGTTGGATGAGGTAGAACAAAGTCATAGTCTACCTTCTTGCTCCTACTATAAACAAGTGGCTTTTTCTTC